AGGATTTGGGGGTTTAAAGGGAATTTTGGGGGGTTTTAAAGGGAATTTGGAGGAATTTGGGGTTTTTTAAAGGGAATTTTGGGGAATTTTTAAGGGATTTGGGGGGAAATTTTGGGTGTTTTGGGGTGGATTTTTGGGGTGAATTTGGGGTTTCTTGGAGTGGATTTTTGGGGTGAATTTGGGGTGTTTTGGGGTAGATTTTTGGGGTGAATTCAGGGGATTTTGAGCTGAATTTTGGTGATTTCAGCGCCCTGCAATGACTCCTCCCGGCCACCAGGGGGAGCCACAGCTGAGGCCTGAATTGGGATTCAATTGGACAAAACTTTGGGGATTTTTGGGGTGAATTTGGGGTGTTTTGGAGTGGATTTTTGGGGTGAATTTGGGGTTTTTTTTGGGGTGAATTTTGGGATTTTTTGGGCTGAATTTTGGGGATTTCAGCGCCCTGCAGTGACTCCTCCCGGCCACCAGGGGGAGCCACATCTGAGGCCTGAATTGGGATTTAATTAGACACAACTTCAGGGATTTTTGGGGTGAATTTGGGGTATTTTGGTGTGTATTTTTGGGGTGAATTTGGGGTTTTTTGGTGTAGATTTTTGGGGTGTTTTGGGGTGGATTTTTGGGGTGAATTCGGGGGATTTTGGGCTGAATTTTGGTGATTTCAGCGCCCTGCAATGACTCCTCCTGGCCACCAGGGGGAGCCACTGCTGAGACCTGAATTGGGATTCAATTGGACACAACTTTGGGGATTTTTGGGGTGAATTTTGGCGGATTCGGGGCGGGATTTTTGGGGTGAATTGGGCTGAATTTTGGGCTGAATTCGGGGGGTTTTGGGGCCCGCAGGGGCTGTCCCTGCTGGAGCTGCGGCCGCAGCTGCTGCTGGGCTTGGCTTAAACTACCGGGTGAATTTGGGGTTACATTTGGACAGAATTTTGGGGATTTTTGGGGTGAATTTGGGGTGTTTTGGTGTGTATTTTTGGGGTGAATTTGGGTTTTTTTTGGGGTGAATTTTGGGATTTTTTGGGGTGAATTTTGGGGATTTCAGCACTCTGCAATGACTCCTCCCGGCCACCAGGGGGAGCCACTGCTGAGACTTGGACACAACTTTGGGGATTTTGGGGTGAATTTTGGCGGATTCGGGGCGGGATTTTTGGGGTGAATTGGGCTGAATTTTGGGCTGAATTTGGGGGGTTTTGGGGCCCGCAGGGGCTGTCCCTGCTGGAGCTGCGGCCGCAGCTGCTGCTGGCTTACCTGCAGGACCTGGCTCTGCTCGCCGCCTCCAAAAGCCGCGGCGCCTCCCTCGGCCTGCAGGGGGCGACGCTGGGGCGGCTGCTGGAGACCCGAGTGGTGAGAGGGGCTTTTGGGGGGAATTCCGGGGATTTTGGGCAAATTCGGGAGGAATCCCGGGCGTTTTGGGGCAAATTCGGGAGGAATTCCGGGGGTTTTGGGGCAAATTCGGGAGGAATCCCGGGGATTTTAGGCAAATTCGGGAGGAATTCCGGGGATTTTGGGGCAAATTCGGGAGGAATTCTGGTAAATTTGGGGAGGTTTGGGCAAATTTCAGGGGGTTTTGGGGGGAATTCCGGGGATTTTGGGCAAATTCTGGAGGAATTCCGGGGATTTTGGGCAAATTCGGGAGGAATCCCGGGGATTTTGGGGCAAATTCAGGGAGGTTTGGGGGCAAATTCGGGAGGAATTCTTGGGGGGGTTTTGGGCAAATTTGGGGTGAATTCTGATAAATTTGGGGAGGTTTGGGCAAATTTCAGGGGGTTTTGGGGGGAATTCCGGGGATTTTGGGCAAATTTGTGGCATATGGTCAAATTGTGGAAAAGTTTGGGCAACTTTGGGGGGTTTTTTTGGGGGGAATTCTGGGGATTTGGGGCAAATTCAGGAGGAATTCTGAGGGGTTTGGAGCAAATTATGGGGGGATTTGGGCAGATTTTGGGGGGAATTCCGGGGATTTTGGGCAAATTTGGGGGGATTTTAGGGGAAATTCTGGGGATTTTGAGCACATCTGGGAGGAATTCTAGGGATTTTGGGCAAATTCGGGGGGAATTCTGGGGATTTTGGGCAAAATTCGGGAGGAATTCTGGGGGTCTGGGAGGAATCCTGTGGGTTTTGGGGGGATTTGGGGGGAATTCTGGGGATTTTGGGCAAATCTGGGGGTTTTGGGGCAAAATTCCAGGGATTTTGGGCAAATCTGCGGGGTTTTGGGGGGAATTCCGGGGATTTTGGGGAAATCTGGGGGGAATTCCGGGGGTTTGGGAGGAATTCTGGGGGTTTGGGCAAATTTTGGAGGGAATTCTGGGGATTTTGGGGCAAATCTGGGAGGTTTTGGGGGAAATTCCGGGGATTTTGGGGCAAATTCGGGAGGAATTCTGAGGGTTTGGGCGGAATTTTGGGGGGAACTCCGGGGATTTTGGGTTAATTCCGGGGGGGGTTTTGGCGAATTTTTGGGGGGGGGGTTTAGTGACTTTTGGGATAACTTGTGGAATTTTGGGGGCGGAATTCCGCCTTTTCCAGGTGCTGGAGAAGCTCCGCCCCCTGGAGCTGCGGCTCCGGCACCTCCTGGAGAAGCTGCTGAGGGCGGCGGCCGCCGGGGGGCGTGGTCAGTGCCGGCCCCGCCCCTTCCCGCCACGGCCAATCGCCGGCCCCGGCCGCCCTTGATTGACGGCTGCCAATCATCCCGACAGGTGCCGAGGACCCGCTCAGCTTCCGCCCCGCCCCCTCCAACATGGCGGCGCAGGTGGGGGCGGGGCTTGAGGGGAAGGGGCGGGGCTTAAGGGGAAAGGGGCGGGGCTTAAGGAGGACTGGGCAAATTCACCCAAAATTACATCAAAATTCACCCGAAATTGACCCAAAATGGACCCAAAATTCACCAGAAATTGACCCAAAATTAAACCAAAATTCACCAAAAATTCCATCAAAATTAACCCAAAATTGAATCAAAATTCAACCTAAAATTAAATCAAAATTCACCCAAAATTCCATCAAAATTCACCCCAAAATTCACCCGAAATTCACCCAAAATTCACCCAAAATTACATCAAAATTCACCTGAAATTGACCCAAAATTGACCCAAAATTCACCCCAAAATTCCATCAAAATTCACCCCAAAATTCCATCAAACTTCACCTGAAATTGACCCAAAATTAACCCAAAATTCCATCAAAATTCACCCTAAATTCATCCAAAATTACATCAAAATTCACCCGAAATTCACTCAAAATTCCATCAAAATTCGCCTGAAATTGACCCAAAATGGACCCAAAATTCACCCAAAATTCACCCGAAATTCATCCAAAATTCACTCCAAATTCCATCAAAATTCACTCCAAATTCACCCAAAATTACATCAAAATTCACCTGAAATTGACCCGAAATTGACCCAAAATTCACCCCAAAATTCCATCAAAATTCACCTGAAATTGACCCAAAATCCACCCAAAATTCATCCAAAATTCCATCAAAATTCACCCGAAATTAACCCGAAATTCACCCAAAATTAATCCAAAATTCCAGCAAAATTCGCCCCAAATGCACCCAAAATTAATTCAAAACTCCATCAAATTTCACCCAAAATTCTCCCCAAACTCACCCAAAATTTACCCAAAATTCACCCAGAATTAACCAAAATCCCCCATAATTCACCCCAAATCCCCCAAACTCACCCCAAAACGACCAAAATGGACCAAAACCAGCTGAAATCAATATGCAAATTAGGCCGGAATGGGTGGTGCTTTAGGGGTGAAGTGGGCGGGGCTTAAGGGCAAAGTGGGCGGGGCTTAAGGGCTTAAATTGCGGCATTTAAGGGGTTAAAGGGGCGGGGCTTGGGGAGGAAAAGGGGCGTGGCTTAAAGGGAAAGGGGCGGGGTTTGACAAGAGGTGGGCGTGGCTTAAGGAGAAAAGGGGAGGGGCTTAAACGTAAAGGTGGGCGTGGCTTAAGGGGAAAGTGGGCGTGGCTTAAGGGGAATGGGGTGGGGTTTAAACGGGGTGGGCGTGGCTTAATGAGAAAAATGCGGGGTTTAAACAGAGGTGGGCGTGGCTTAATGGGAAAGGGGCGGGGTTTAACAGGAGGTGGGCGTGGTTTAAGGGGAAAGGGGCGGGATTTAACAGGTGGTGGGCGTGGCTTAAAGAGGAAAGGGCGGGGTTTAACGGGGTGGGCGTGGCTTAAGGGGAAAGGGGGGCAGGGTTTAAATGGAGGTGGGCGTGGCTTAAGGGGAAAAGGGGCGGGATTTAACGGGGTGGGCGTGGTTTAAGGAGAAAGGGGTGGGGTTTAACACGAAGTGGGTGTGGTTTAAGGGGAAAGGGGCGGGGCTTAAATGGAGGTGGGCGTGGTTTAAGGGAAAGGGGCGGAGTTTAACTGGAGGTGGGCGTGGGTTGAGAGAAGGGGCGGGGTTTAAATGAATGTGGGCGTGGCTTTAGGAGAAAGGGGCGGGGTTTAAACGGAGTGATGGGCGTGGCTTGAGAAAAGGGGCGGGGCTTAAACGGCTAGGTGGGCGTGGCTTAAGGGGAAAGTGGGCGGGGTTTAAGTGGAAAAGGGGCGGGGTTTAACAGGAGGTGGGCGTGGTTTAAGGGGAAAGGGGCGGGGGTTACATCAGTGGGCGTGGCTTAAGGAAAAGGGGCGGGGTTTACCGGGCGGTGGGCGTGGTTTGGGCGGTGGGCGTGGCCTGAGTGGGCGTGTCCCGCAGGAGGAGGAGGAGGAGGAGGAGGAGGAAGGCCGAGGGGGCGGAGCCAAAGCGCCGGGGCTGGGGGGGGGGCGGCGCTACGTGCCCCCCCGCCTGGTGCCCGTGGCCTGCGGTGAGTGACCCCAAAATCGGCCCAAATCGGCCCAAAATGAGCCCCGAATCTGCCCCAAATCAGCCCAAAATCCGCCTGAAATCAGCTCAAAATGAGCATAAAATGAGTCCAAAATCGGCCCAAAATGAGCCCCAAATCTGCCCCAAATCAGCCCAAAATTCACCCGAAATCAGCCCAAAATTCACCCGAAATCAGCCCAAAATCAGCCCAAAATGAGTCTGAAATGAGCCCAAAATCCACTCGAAATAAGCCCAAAATGAGTCCGAAATCTGCCCAAAATCAGCCCCAAATCAGCCCCAAATCAGCCCAAAATTCACCCGAAATCCGCCCAAAATCGGCCCAAAATCAGCCCCCATTTTTAACCAATTTCACCCCATCTTTACCCCAATTTTTTCCCATTTTTTTCCCCATTTTATCCCCATTTTTCCCCGTTTTTTCACCGTTTTTCCCCATTTTTTCATTTTTCTTATTTTCCCCCATTTTTAACCAATTTCACCCCATCTTTACCCCAATTTTTCCCATTTTTTTCCCCATTTTATCCCCATTTTTCCCCATTTTTTCCCCGTTTTTTCCCATTTTTATTTTCCCCCATTTTTAACCAATTTTACCCCAATTTTTTCCCGATTTTCTTCACCATTTTTAACCCATTTTTCCCCTCATTTCATCCCCATTTTTCCCCCATTTTTTCCCCCTTTTTCGTCTCTTTTTCACCGTTTTTTGTCATTTTTTCACCGTTTTTCACCATTTTCCTTATTTTCCCCCATTTTTAACCAATTTCACCCCATCTTTACCCCAATTTTTCCCATTTTTTTTCCCCATTTTATCCCCATTTTTCCCCCCGTTTCATCCCCATTCTTTCACCGTTTTTCCCCATTTTTTCGTCATTTTTTCACCGTTTTTCCCCGTTTTTCCCCA